GGTCTGTCCAAACAGGCTGTAAAACAGCTGCAGTACATTCAAAATGCAGCAGCTCCAGTCCTGACTAGAACCAGGAAGTACGACCACATTAGTCCAGTCCTCAGGTCTCTGCACTGGCTTCCTGTGGCTCAGAGAATAGACTTTAAAACAGCTCTGCTTGTGTACAAGTCTCTCCATAGCCTCGCACCAAAATATATTAGTGACATGTTAGTCCCATATGAACCAGCCCGGACTCTGAGGAGCACAGGGACTGGCCTCCTGCTGGGACTCTGAGGAGCACAGGGACTGGACTCCTGCTGGGACTCTGAGGAGCACAGGGACTGGACTCCTGTTAGTGCCCAGAGTCAGAACTAAACATGGGGAGGCTGCTTTTCAGATTAATGCTGCTAAAATCTGGAACAGTCTTCCTGAAGATGTGAGACAGGCCTCCTCTCTGACAATGTTTAAAACCAGGTTAAAGACGGTTCTGTTTAACTGTGCATACAACTGAGGGATTTTATATTTTTATCTTTCTTTTTAATGTTCTGTGATAATTTATGATTTTAATGCTTTCTTGTTTTGTTCAGCACTTTGAATTGCCTTGTGTATGAATTGTGCTATATAAATAAACTTGCCTTGCCTTGCCTTGCCTTTCGTGATGATGTCAGTGACTTTCGTGATGATGTCAGATACTGTCGTGATGATGTCAAAGACTGTTGTGATGATGTCAGAGACTGTTGTGATGATGTCAGAGACTGTCGTGATGATGTCAGAGACTGTTGTGATGAGACTGTTGCCGTTCCACGCCCCACGCCCCACTCCCCCGCCCCACGCCCCACTCCCCCGCCCCACTCCCCCACGCCCCACGCCCCACTCCCCCGCCCCACTCCCCCGCCCCACGCCCCACTCCCCCGCCCCACTCCCCACGCCCCACGCCCCCACCCCCCGCCCCACTCCCCACGCCCCACGCCCCACACCCCCGCCCCACTCCCCCGCCCCACGCCCCACTCCCCCGCCCCACTCCCCCGCCCCACGCCCCACTCCCCCGCCCCACGCCCCACGCCCCACTCCCCACGCCCCACCCCACCCCACTCCCCCGCCCCACTCCCCACTCCCCACGCCCCACTCCCCCGCCCCACGCCCCACTCCCCCGCCCCACTCCCCACGCCCCCCACGCCCCACTCCCCCGCCCCACTCCCCACGCCCCACGCCCCACTCCCCCGCCCCACTCCCCCGCCCCACGCCCCACTCCCCCGCCCCACGCCCCACGCCCCACTCCCCACGCCCCACGCCCCACTCCCCCGCCCCACTCCCCACGCCCCACGCCCCACTCCCCCGCCCCACTCCCCACGCCCCACGCCCCACTCCCCCCCCCCACTCCCCACGCCCCACTCCCCACGCCCCACGCCCCACGCCCCACTCCCCCGCCCCACTCCCCACGCCCCACGCCCCACGCCCCACTCCCCCCGCCCCACTCCCCACGCCCCACGCCCCACGCCCCACCCCCCCGCCCCACGCCCCACTCCCCACGCCCCACGCCCCACTCCCCCGCCCCACGCCCCACTCCCCACGCCCCACTCCCCACTCCCCCGCCCCACGCCCCACTCCCCACGCCCCACTCCCCACGCCCCACGCCCCACTCCCCACGCCCCACTCCCCACGCCCCACGCCCCACTCCCCCGCCCCACTCCCCACGCCCCACTCCCCACGCCCCACGCCCCACTCCCCCGCCCCACTCCCCCGCCCCACGCCCCACGCCCCACTCCCCACGCCCCACTCCCCCGCCCCACGCCCCACGCCCCACTCCCCCGCCCCACTCCCCGCCCCACGCCCCACTCCCCACGCCCCACGCCCCACGCCCCACTCCCCCGCCCCACTCCCCCGCCCCACGCCCCACTCCCCACGCCCCACTCCCCACTCCCCCGCCCCACGCCCCACTCCCCCGCCCCACTCCCCACGCCCCACTCCCCACGCCCCACGCCCCACTCCCCACGCCCCACTCCCCACGCCCCACGCCCCACTCCCCCGCCCCACTCCCCACGCCCCACTCCCCACGCCCCACGCCCCACTCCCCCGCCCCACTCCCCCCCCCCCCACGCCCCACGCCCCACTCCCCACGCCCCACTCCCCCGCCCCACGCCCCACTCCCCCGCCCCACTCCCCACGCCCCACTCCCCACGCCCCACGCCCCACTCCCCACGCCCCACTCCCCACGCCCCACGCCCCACTCCCCCGCCCCACTCCCCACGCCCCACTCCCCACGCCCCACGCCCCACTCCCCCGCCCCACTCCCCCGCCCCACGCCCCACTCCCCACGCCCCACGCCCCACGCCCCACTCCCCCGCCCCACTCCCCCCCCGCCCCACGCCCCACGCCCCACGCCCCACGCCCCACTCCCCCGCCCCACTCCCCCGCCCCACGCCCCACTCCCCACGCCCCACGCCCCACGCCCCACTCCCCACGCCCCCACGCCCCACTCCCCACGCCCCCCCCACGCCCCACTCCCCACGCCCCACGCCCCACGCCCCACTCCCCACGCCCCACGCCCCACGCCCCACGCCCCACTCCCCACGCCCCACGCCCCACTCCCCACGCCCCACGCCCCACTCCCCACGCCCCACGCCCCACTCCCCACGCCCCACGCCCCACGCCCCACGCCCCACTCCCCCACGCCCCACGCCCCACTCCCCACGCCCCACGCCCCACTCCCCACGCCCCCACTCCCCACGCCCCACGCCCCACGCCCCACTCCCCCGCCCCACTCCCCACGCCCCACGCCCCACGCCCCACTCCCCACGCCCCACGCCCCACGCCCCACGCCCCACTCCCCACGCCCCACGCCCCACGCCCCACGCCCCACTCCCCCGCCCCACTCCCCACGCCCCACGCCCACGCCCCACGCCCCACGCCCCACTCCCCACGCCCCACCCCACCCCCACGCCCCACGCCCAGCCCCCCCACCCCCCCCCACGCCCCACCCCACGCCCCACGCCCCACGCCCACGCCCCACGCCCACCCCCACTCCACGCCCCACGCCCCACTCCCCACGCCCCCACTCCCCACGCCCCACCCCCACCCCCACGCCCCACGCCCCACGCCCCACGCCCCACGCCCCACTCCCCACGCCCCACTCCCCACGCCCCACTCCCCGCCCCACCCCCCCACCCACGCCCCACTCCCCCCCCCCCCACCCCCCACGCCCCACGCCCCACGCCCCACTCCCCACGCCCCACTCCCCACGCCCCACGCCCCACTCCCCACCCACTCCCCACGCCCCACGCCCCACGCTCCACGCCCCACGCCCCACGCCCCACGCCCCACGCTCCACGCCCCACGCCCCACTCCCCGCCCCACTCCCCACTCCCCACGCCCCACGCCCCACTCCCCACTCCCCACGCCCCACGCCCCACGCCCCACGCTCCACGCCCCACGCCCCACGCCCCACGCCCCCCACGCTCCACGCCCCACGCCCCACCCCCCGCCCCACTCCCCACTCCCCACGCCCCACGCCCCACGCCCCACGCCCCACTCCCCACGCCCCACGCTCCACGCCCCACTCCCCACGCCCCACGCCCCACGCCCCACTCCCCCGCCCCACTCCCCACGCCCCACGCTCCACGCCCCACCCCACGCCCCACGCCCCACGCCCCACGCCCCACTCCCCACGCCCCACTCCCCACGCCCCACGCTCCACGCCCCACTCCCCACGCCCCACTCCCCACGCCCCACTCCCCCGCCCCACTCCCCACGCCCCACTCCCCACGCCCCACGCCCCACGCCCCACGCCCCACCCCCCGCCCCACTCCCCACGCCCCACGCTCCACGCCCCACTCCCCACGCCCCACTCCCCACGCCCCACTCCCCCGCCCCACTCCCCACGCCCCACTCCCCCCACGCCCCACGCCCCACGCCCCACGCCCCACCCCCCCCCCCCCCACTCCCCACGCCCCACGCCCCACGCCCCACGCTCCACGCCCCACTCCCCACTCCCCACGCCCCACGCCCCACGCCCCACGCTCCACGCCCCACGCCCCACGCCCCACGCTCCACGCCCCACGCCCCACTCCCCCGCCCCACTCCCCACTCCCCACGCCCCACGCCCCACGCACCACTCCCCACTCCCCACGCCCCACGCCCCACGCCCCACGCCCCACGCTCCACGCCCCACGCCCCACGCCCCACGCTCCACGCCCCACGCCCCACTCCCCCGCCCCACTCCCCACTCCCCACGCCCCACGCTCCACCACCCACTCCCCACGCCCCACGCCCCACGCCCCACTCCCCCGCCCCACTCCCCACGCCCCACGCCCCACTCCCCACGCCCCACGCCCCACGCCCCACGCCCCACGCCCCACTCCCCCGCCCCACTCCCCACGCCCCACGCCCCACGCCCCACTCCCCCCGCCCCACGCCCCACGCCCCACGCCCCACTCCCCACGCCCCACTCCCCACGCCCCACGCCCCACTCCCCACGCCCCACGCCCCACGCCCCACGCCCCACTCCCCACGCCCCACGCCCCCACGCCCCACTCCCCACGCCCCACGCCCCACTCCCCACGCCCCACGCCCCACGCCCCACTCCCCACTCCCCACGCCCCACGCCCCCGCCCCACGCCCCACGCCCCACGCCCCACGCCCCACGCCCCCCCCACGCCCCACTCCCCACGCCCCACGCCCCACTCCCCACTCCCCACGCCCCACTCCCCACTCCCACCCCCCCACTCCCCCACGCCCCACGCCCCACGCCCCACGCCCCACGCCCCACGCCCCACGCCCCACGCCCCACTCCCCACGCCCCACGCCCCACTCCCCACTCCCCACGCCCCACTCCCCACTCCCCACTCCCCACTCCCCACCCCACTCCCACCCCCACGCCCCACTCCCCACTCCCCACGCCCCACGCCCCACGCCCCACGCCCCACTCCCCACGCCCCACGCCCCACGCCCCACTCCCCACGCCCCACGCCCCACGCTCCACGCTCCACGCTCCACTCCCCACATGGACGCCGCATGGACGCCGCATGGGCGCCGCATGGACGCCGCATGGACGCCGCATGGACGCCGCATGGACGCCGCATGGACGCCGCATGGACGCCGCATGGACGCCGCATGGACGCCGCATGGACGCCGCATGGACGCCGCATGGACACGCTCAGCAACCAAACTTCAACAACAGTCACTTCATATCTATAGATGAGTATTGGGTTCTTCTAAACCAGACAATATACGGTTTTGTGATACTTTTAATTCTACTAAGAAAACAAGATGAATCTTCCTAAACTAGCAACAGATGAGATCGGTGTTTAGCAAAGAAATGTTTATACTAGCTTCTTTATTATGCTAACGCTAGACTTTATACTAGCTTCTTTATTATGCTAACGCTAGAGATTATACTAGCTTCTTTATTATGCTAACGCTAGATTTTATACTAGCTTCTTTATTATGCTAAAGCTAGATTTTATACTAGCTTCTTTATTATGCTAAAGATAGATTTATACTAGCTTCTTTATTATGCTAAAGCTAGACTTTATACTAGCTTCTTTATTATGCTAACGCTAGATTTTATACTAGCTTCTTTATTATGCTAACGCTAGATTTTATACTAGCTTCTTTATTATGCTAAAGCTAGATTTTATACTAGCTTCTTTATTATGCTAACGCTAGAGTTTATACTAGCTTCTTTATTATGCTAAAGCTAGAGTTTATACTAGCTTCTTTATTATGCTAAAGCTAGAGTTTATACTAGCTTCTTTATTATGCTAACGCTAGAGTTTATACTAGCTTCTTTATTATGCTAACGCTAGAGATTATACTAGCTTCTTTATTATGCTAACGCTAGACTTTATACTAGCTTCTTTATTATGCTAAAGCTAGAGAACTCATCAAACCAGTCTGAACTAGAAATGATTTGCAAAGAAGAATGGTCCAAAATACCTTCCACTAGAATCCAGGCTCTAGTTGTAAGTTATAGGAAGTGTTCTTGTGATTTTGGCCAAAGGAGGATGTGGAAATATTGAGTTGTTTCCTACATTTATGCACACGCCTTATTTGGTTTAAATAAGTCCTAAATAAGACTTTCTGTAAATGATACAAACTTCATTTCACTTTAACTGTCTCCGATGTGATAAACTGATCTGTCCAATCCATACAGTCAATGATTTATGAAGGTAAATCATAAACATAAAAACCAGTGTATAAACAGAGTATTGTTCGTACTCGTAAGAAGACTCTCTGTGAGTCACTATTTGCCTCTTTGGGCTCAGAGGTGGTGCTTCAGATTCAGTTAAATGTGTAAACCAGACACATGCATTTAATAAAACAAGCTAAAATAAGGAACAACGATCACTTCAACAGAGTGAGAGACGTCTCTTTGGTCCAACACTTCATATCAATATAAGTTATTTTATCATATATCAGATGAATCCCTTCCACAGACCAGGGTCACGGAGACAGTTGTTTTTAATGGTATGGGAAACCGGAGCACCTGGAGGAATGTTCTGACTGTGACATGTTGATAAAGCACAGGTCATGAGTGTCACTGTGAGACCTGGAGATCTGAGTCTGAGTCTGAGTCTGTCTGAGTCTCGGTCTGAGTCTGAGTCTGAGTCTGGGTCTGAGTCTGAGTCTGAGTCTGGGTCTGAGTCTGAGTCTGGGTCTGTGTCTGTGTCTGAGTCTGAGTCTGGGTCTGGGTCTGGGTCTGAGTCTGAGTCTGGGTCTGAGTCTGAGTCTGAGTCTGAGTCTGAGTCTCGGTCTGAGTCTGGGTCTGAGTCTGAGTCTGGGTCTGAGTCTGAGTCTGGGTCTGAGTCTGGGTCTGTGTCTGTGTCTGAGTCTGAGTCTGGGTCTGGGTCTGGGTCTGAGTCTGAGTCTGGGTCTGAGTCTGAGTCTGGGTCTGAGTCTGGGTCTGTGTCTGTGTCTGAGTCTGAGTCTGGGTCTGGGTCTGGGTCTGAGTCTGTGTCTGTGTCTGAGTCTGAGTCTGAGTCTGAGTCTGAGTCTGAGTCTGAGTCTGAGTCTGGGTCTGAGTCTGAGTCTGAGTCTGGGTCTGGGTCTGTGTCTGTGTCTGGGTCTGGGTCTGGGTCTGAGTCTGAGTCTGAGTCTGGGTCTGGGTCTGGGTCTGAGTCTGAGTCTGAGTCTGGGTCTGAGTCTGGGTCTGTGTCTGTGTCTGGGTCTGGGTCTGAGTCTGAGTCTGGGTCTGGGTCTGGGTCTGGGTCTGAGTCTGAGTCTGAGTCTGTGTCTGGGTCTGGGTCTGAGTCTGAGTCTGAGTCTGGGTCTGGGTCTGAGTCTGAGTCTGGGTCTGGGTCTGAGTCTGGGTCTGTGTCTGTGTCTGGGTCTGGGTCTGAGTCTGGGTCTGGGTCTGAGTCTGAGTCTGAGTCTCGGTCTGAGTCTGGGTCTGAGTCTGAGTCTGGGTCTGAGTCTGAGTCTGGGTCTGAGTCTGGGTCTGTGTCTGTGTCTGAGTCTGAGTCTGGGTCTGGGTCTGGGTCTGAGTCTGAGTCTGGGTCTGAGTCTGGGTCTGAGTCTGAGTCTGAGTCTGTGTCTGTGTCTGAGTCTGAGTCTGAGTCTGAGTCTGAGTCTGAGTCTGAGTCTGAGTCTGGGTCTGAGTCTGAGTCTGAGTCTGGGTCTGGGTCTGGGTCTGTGTCTGGGTCTGTGTCTGGGTCTGGGTCTGAGTCTGAGTCTGAGTCTGGGTCTGGGTCTGGGTCTGAGTCTGAGTCTGAGTCTGGGTCTGTGTCTGTGTCTGGGTCTGGGTCTGAGTCTGAGTCTGGGTCTGGGTCTGGGTCTGGGTCTGAGTCTGAGTCTGAGTCTGTGTCTGGGTCTGGGTCTGAGTCTGAGTCTGAGTCTGGGTCTGGGTCTGAGTCTGAGTCTGGGTCTGGGTCTGAGTCTGGGTCTGTGTCTGTGTCTGGGTCTGGGTCTGAGTCTGGGTCTGGGTCTGAGTCTGAGTCTGGGTCTGAGTCTGAGTCTGGGTCTGAGTCTGGGTCTGGGTCTGAGTCTGTGTCTGAGTCTGAGTCTGAGTCTGAGTCTGAGTCTGGGTCTGAGTCTGGGTCTGAGTCTGAGTCTGAGTCTGGGTCTGGGTCTGAGTCTGAGTCTGGGTCTGAGTCTGAGTCTGAGTCTGGGTCTGAGTCTGGGTCTGGGTCTGAGTCTGTGTCTGAGTCTGAGTCTGAGTCTGTCTGTGTCTGAGTCTGAGTCTGAGTCTGAGTCTGGAGTCTGAGTCTGGGTCTGGGTCTGAGTCTGAGTCTGGGTCTGGGTCTGGGTCTGGGTCTGGGTCTGAGTCTGAGTCTGAGTCTGAGTCTGAGTCTGAGTCTGAGTCTGAGTCTGTGTCTGAGTCTGGGTCTGAGTCTGAGTCTGGGTCTGGGTCTGAGTCTGGGTCTGGGTCTGAGTCTGTGTCTGAGTCTGAGTCTGAGTCTGTCTGTGTCTGAGTCTGAGTCTGAGTCTGAGTCTGAGTCTGAGTCTGAGTCTGGGTCTGGGTCTGAGTCTGAGTCTGGGTCTGGGTCTGAGTCTGGGTCTGGGTCTGAGTCTGAGTCTGAGTCTGTGTCTGAGTCTGAGTCTGAGTCTGAGTCTGTGTCTGAGTCTGGGTCTGAGTCTGAGTCTGGGTCTGGGTCTGGGTCTGGGTCTGAGTCTGTGTCTGAGTCTGTGTCTGAGTCTGAGTCTGAGTCTGAGTCTGAGTCTGTGTCTGTGTCTGAGTCTGGGTCTGAGTCTGGGTCTGGGTCTGAGTCTGTGTCTGAGTCTGTGTCTGTGTCTGGGTCTGAGTCTGTGTCTGAGTCTGTGTCTGGGTCTGAGTCTGAGTCTGGGTCTGAGTCTGTGTCTGTGTCTGGGTCTGGGTCTGGGTCTGGGTCTGAGTCTGAGTCTGGGTCTGAGTCTGGGTCTGAGTCTGAGTCTGTGTCTGAGTCTGAGTCTGAGTCTGAGTCTGAGTCTGAGTCTGGGTCTGAGTCTGTGTCTGAGTCTGTGTCTGAGTCTGAGTCTGGGTCTGAGTCTGAGTCTGTGTCTGTGTCTGAGTCTGGGTCTGAGTCTGGGTCTGAGTCTGGGTCTGTGTCTGTGTCTGAGTCTGAGTCTGAGTCTGGGTCTGGGTCTGGGTCTGAGTCTGAGTCTGGGTCTGAGTCTGGGTCTGTGTCTGAGTCTGGGTCTGAGTCTGAGTCTGAGTCTGAGTCTGAGTCTGAGTCTGGGTCTGGGTCTGAGTCTGGGTCTGGGTCTGAGTCTGGGTCTGTGTCTGTGTCTGGGTCTGAGTCTGAGTCTGAGTCTGAGTCTGAGTCTGAGTCTGGGTCTGAGTCTGGGTCTGAGTCTGAGTCTGGGTCTGAGTCTGGGTCTGTGTCTGGGTCTGGGTCTGAGTCTGAGTCTGGGTCTGTGTCTGTGTCTGAGTCTGAGTCTGAGTCTGAGTCTGGGTCTGGGTCTGAGTCTGAGTCTGGGTCTGAGTCTGAGTCTGGGTCTGGGTCTGGGTCTGGGTCTGGGTCTGTGTCTGGGTCTGAGTCTGGGTCTGTGTCTGGGTCTGGGTCTGAGTCTGAGTCTGGGTCTGAGTCTGAGTCTGAGTCTGGGTCTGAGTCTGGGTCTGAGTCTGAGTCTGGGTCTGAGTCTGGGTCTGTGTCTGGGTCTGGGTGTCTGAGTCTGAGTCTGAGTCTGGGTCTGAGTCTGAGTCTGAGTCTGGGTCTGGGTCTGAGTCTGGGTCTGGGTCTGAGTCTGAGTCTGGGTCTGGGTCTGGGTCTGTGTCTGAGTCTGAGTCTGGGTCTGTGTCTGTGTCTGAGTCTGAGTCTGAGTCTGAGTCTGGGTCTGGGTCTGGGTCTGGGTCTGGGTCTGTGTCTGGGTCTGAGTCTGGGTCTGTGTCTGGGTCTGGGTCTGAGTCTGGGTCTGAGTCTGGGTCTGAGTCTGAGTCTGAGTCTGAGTCTGAGTCTGAGTCTGGGTCTGGGTCTGGGTCTGAGTCTGAGTCTGGGTCTGAGTCTGGGTCTGTGTCTGGGTCTGAGTCTGAGTCTGAGTCTGGGTCTGGGTCTGTGTCTGGGTCTGGGTCTGGGTCTGGGTCTGGGTCTGAGTCTGAGTCTGGGTCTGGGTCTGAGTCTGGGTCTGGGTCTGAGTCTGAGTCTGAGTCTGTGTCTGAGTCTGAGTCTGAGTCTGAGTCTGAGTCTGAGTCTGAGTCTGAGTCTGTGTCTGTGTCTGAGTCTGGGTCTGAGTCTGAGTCTGGGTCTGAGTCTGTGTCTGAGTCTGTGTCTGGGTCTGAGTCTGAGTCTGGGTCTGAGTCTGTGTCTGTGTCTGGGTCTGAGTCTGGGTCTGGGTCTGAGTCTGAGTCTGGGTCTGAGTCTGGGTCTGAGTCTGAGTCTGTGTCTGAGTCTGAGTCTGAGTCTGAGTCTGAGTCTGAGTCTGAGTCTGGGTCTGAGTCTGTGTCTGAGTCTGTGTCTGAGTCTGAGTCTGGGTCTGAGTCTGAGTCTGGGTCTGAGTCTGGGTCTGGGTCTGAGTCTGAGTCTGGGTCTGAGTCTGGGTCTGTGTCTGAGTCTGGGTCTGAGTCTGAGTCTGAGTCTGAGTCTGAGTCTGAGTCTGGGTCTGGGTCTGGGTCTGAGTCTGAGTCTGGGTCTGAGTCTGTTAGTCTGTGTCTGAGTCTGAGTCTGAGTCTGAGTCTGAGTCTGAGTCTGTGTCTGGGTCTGAGTCTGAGTCTGGGTCTGGGTCTGAGTCTGGGTCTGGGTCTGAGTCTGAGTCTGAGTCTGAGTCTGTGTCTGTGTCTGTGTCTGAGTCTGGGTCTGAGTCTGAGTCTGGGTCTGAGTCTGGGTCTGTGTCTGTGTCTGAGTCTGAGTCTGAGTCTGAGTCTGGGTCTGGGTCTGAGTCTGAGTCTGGGTCTGAGTCTGGGTCTGTGTCTGAGTCTGGGTCTGAGTCTGAGTCTGAGTCTGAGTCTGAGTCTGAGTCTGGGTCTGGGTCTGGGTCTGAGTCTGAGTCTGGGTCTGAGTCTGAGTCTGTGTCTGAGTCTGAGTCTGAGTCTGAGTCTGAGTCTGAGTCTGTGTCTGGGTCTGAGTCTGAGTCTGGGTCTGGGTCTGAGTCTGGGTCTGGGTCTGAGTCTGAGTCTGAGTCTGTGTCTGAGTCTGAGTCTGAGTCTGAGTCTGAGTCTGTGTCTGAGTCTGGGTCTGAGTCTGAGTCTGGGTCTGGGTCTGAGTCTGGGTCTGGGTCTGAGTCTGTGTCTGAGTCTGAGTCTGAGTCTGTCTGTGTCTGAGTCTGAGTCTGAGTCTGAGTCTGAGTCTGAGTCTGAGTCTGGGTCTGGGTCTGAGTCTGAGTCTGGTCTGGGTCTGAGTCTGGGTCTGGGTCTGAGTCTGAGTCTGAGTCTGTGTCTGAGTCTGAGTCTGAGTCTGAGTCTGTGTCTGAGTCTGGGTCTGAGTCTGAGTCTGGGTCTGGGTCTGGGTCTGGGTCTGAGTCTGTGTCTGAGTCTGTGTCTGAGTCTGAGTCTGAGTCTGAGTCTGAGTCTGAGTCTGTGTCTGGGTCTGTCTGGGTCTGGGTCTGAGTCTGTGTCTGAGTCTGAGTCTGTGTCTGGGTCTGAGTCTGTGTCTGAGTCTGTGTCTGGGTCTGAGTCTGAGTCTGGGTCTGGGTCTGAGTCTGAGTCTGGGTCTGGGTCTGGGTCTGTGTCTGAGTCTGGGTCTGAGTCTGAGTCTGAGTCTGAGTCTGAGTCTGAGTCTGGGTCTGGGTCTGGGTCTGAGTCTGAGTCTGGGTCTGAGTCTGGGTCTGTGTCTGGGTCTGAGTCTGAGTCTGAGTCTGGGTCTGGGTCTGTGTCTGGGTCTGGGTCTGAGTCTGGGTCTGGGTCTGAGTCTGAGTCTGGGTCTGGGTCTGAGTCTGGGTCTGGGTCTGAGTCTGAGTCTGAGTCTGTGTCTGAGTCTGAGTCTGAGTCTGAGTCTGAGTCTGTGTCTGAGCTGGGTCTGAGTCTGAGTCTGGGTCTGGGTCTGGGTCTGGGTCTGAGTCTGTGTCTGAGTCTGTGTCTGAGTCTGAGTCTGAGTCTGAGTCTGAGTCTGAGTCTGAGTCTGTGTCTGTGTCTGAGTCTGAGTCTGAGTCTGAGTCTGTGTCTGTGTCTGAGTCTGGGTCTGAGTCTGAGTCTGGGTCTGAGTCTGTGTCTGAGTCTGTGTCTGGGTCTGAGTCTGAGTCTGGGTCTGAGTCTGTGTCTGTGTCTGGGTCTGAGTCTGGGTCTGGGTCTGAGTCTGAGTCTGGGTCTGAGTCTGGGTCTGAGTCTGAGTCTGTGTCTGAGTCTGAGTCTGAGTCTGAGTCTGAGTCTGAGTCTGAGTCTGAGTCTGGGTCTGAGTCTGTGTCTGAGTCTGTGTCTGAGTCTGGGTCTGGGTCTGAGTCTGAGTCTGTGTCTGTGTCTGAGTCTGGGTCTGAGTCTGAGTCTGGGTCTGAGTCTGGGTCTGTGTCTGTGTCTGAGTCTGAGTCTGAGTCTGAGTCTGGGTCTGGGTCTGAGTCTGAGTCTGGGTCTGAGTCTGGGTCTGTGTCTGAGTCTGGGTCTGAGTCTGAGTCTGAGTCTGAGTCTGAGTCTGAGTCTGGGTCTGAGTCTGGGTCTGAGTCTGAGTCTGGTCTGAGTCTGAGTCTGTGTCTGAGTCTGAGTCTGAGTCTGAGTCTGAGTCTGAGTCTGTGTCTGGGTCTGAGTCTGAGTCTGGGTCTGGGTCTGAGTCTGGGTCTGGGTCTGAGTCTGAGTCTGAGTCTGTGTCTGAGTCTGAGTCTGAGTCTGAGTCTGAGTCTGTGTCTGAGTCTGGGTCTGAGTCTGAGTCTGGGTCTGGGTCTGAGTCTGGGTCTGGGTCTGAGTCTGTGTCTGAGTCTGAGTCTGAGTCTGTCTGTGTCTGAGTCTGAGTCTGAGTCTGAGTCTGAGTCTGAGAGTCTGAGTCTGGGTCTGGGTCTGAGTCTGAGTCTGGTCTGGTCTGGGTCTGAGTCTGGGTCTGGGTCTGAGTCTGAGTCTGAGTCTGTGTCTGAGTCTGAGTCTGAGTCTGAGTCTGTGTCTGAGTCTGGGTCTGAGTCTGAGTCTGGGTCTGGGTCTGGGTCTGGGTCTGAGTCTGTGTCTGAGTCTGTGTCTGAGTCTGAGTCTGTGTCTGAGTCTGAGTCTGAGTCTGTGTCTGGGTCTGAGTCTGGGTCTGGGTCTGAGTCTGTGTCTGAGTCTGAGTCTGAGTCTGGAGTCAGGAGCTAAACTGTTTAAAGATGTTCTTACAGTGTGTGTGGTTTAGTGAGTTACTGGTATACCATGTGTGGTTTAGTGAGTTACTGGTATACCATGTGTGGTTTAGTGAGTTACTGGTATACCATGTGTGTGGTTTAGTGAGTTACTGGTATACCATGTGTGGTTTAGTGAGTTACTGGTATACCATGTGTGGTTTAGTGAGTTACTGGTATACCATGTGTGGTTTAGTGAGTTACTGGTATACCATGTGTGGTTTAGTGAGTTACTGGTATACCATGTGTGGTTTAGTGAGTTACTGGTATACCATGTGTGGTTTAGTGAGTTACTGGTATACCATGTGTGGTTTAGTGAGTTACTGGTATACCATGTGTGGTTTAGTGAGTTACTGGTATACCATGTGTGGTTTAGTGAGTTACTGGTATACCATGTGTGGTTTAGTGAGTTACTGGTATACCATGTGTGGTTTAGTGAGTTACTGGTATACCATGTGTGGTTTAGTGAGTTACTGGTATACCATGTGTGGTTTAGTGAGTTACTGGTATACCATGTGTGGTTTAGTGAGTTACTGGTATACCATGTGTGGTTTAGAAACACTTATGTCCATTAGTGACGATAGTATTGTCAACAACATATGAATAATCTTAATCTGAGTTTATTCTGTGTTAAAACAAGATTCTCCAACGGGACAAAACCATTTAGTCTCCGGTTCATAACTGTCGCTCTCTTTCTCATTCCAAAGGAGGTATTTCTGTATCTTTTCAAAATAAGATCATTTTTATGTCCCGTTGGAGAATCTTGTTTTCAGACACAATGTGCTCAAACTAAGACACGTTTTACCAAATTTGAGCCATTTTTAGTCCCCTTCAGCTGCTTGTATCCCTCAGCGGTTCCTAAACTACATTATGACCAACAACACACTTCACAATATTATAGATGTAGCTTTCTTGGCTCTCTGGCTCCAAGTGATTCCAGTTTAACAGAAACATCTAATCAGCAGCAGCAGAGGATCCAAAAAGTGACACATGTTGCAGAGATTTCCGGCAAAACAGGGAAATAAAATCTAAATTTGACATTTCTTACACAATCTGCCATCTTTCCCCTTTTCCGAGACCCAGTCGAGCCGATCGCTCCACAGGTGCTGAGCCAGAGACCCAGTTGAACCCTAACCCACAGGTGCTGAGCCAGAGACCCAGTTGAACCCTAACCCACAGGTGCTGAGCCAGAGACCCAGTTGAACCCTAACCCACAGGTGCTGAGCCAGAGACCCAGTTGAACCCTAACCCACAGGTGCTGAGACAGAGACCCAGTTGAACCCTAACCCTAACCCACAGGTGCTGAGCCAGAGACCCAGTTGAACCCTAACCCACAGGTGCTGAGCCAGAGACCCAGTTGAACCCTAACCCTAACCCACAGGTGCTGAGCCAGAGACCCAGTTGAACCCTAACCCTAACCCACAGGTGCTGAGCCAGAGACCCAGTTGAACCCTAACCCTAACCCACAGGTGCTGAGACAGAGACCCAGTTGAACCCTAACCCTAACCCACAGGTGCTGAGCCAGAGACCCAGTTGAACCCTAACCCTAACCCACAGGTGCTGAGCCAGAGACCCAGTTGAACCCTAACCCTAACCCACAGGTGCTGAGACAGAGACCCAGTTGAACCCTAACCCTAACCCACAGGTGCTGAGCCAGAGACCCAGTTGAACCCTAACCCTAACCCACAGGTGCTGAGCCAGAGACCCAGTTGAACCCTAACCCTAACCCACAGGTGCTGAGACAGAGACTCCCAAAACCCACTGGTCCACAACCGCAAAGGTACCGTCCTCAGATGCCCTCCACAGCTGCATCAAAACTATTCCCCTCCAGCTTCACATCAGCATCCTCCCGTCAGACTGCGCTTTCCTCCTCACCCATTAATCCAATTTGTTTTAGAATAAATCCTGTGTTTTCTTTGCCAACACGACTACGGAGCGTCCATCCATCTATGCCACAACCGACATGCTCTGCACCATCAGCTCCTCGCAGCTACGTCCGAGCAAACATACACTACATGCTTTTACACCACCCACAGTTCATTATCTACTTTATACCCGTGAGATTTGCCGTGGACAAATGTCAGGGAAAGGCAGGAGCTTGTCGTGCAGCATCTCCAGAAACTGCCTCTCCTTCTCCCAAAAAAACTGAAATGTCTTCCCCCCCTAAAAACGGCATGAAAACATAAAGGCAATGTAGTTTGAGTCAAGACTGTGGAGAGAAGACAGCGTTTGTGATTGAGATGTGGAATCGGAGCCATTGCATAACCACGACCGGCGGTGTCACGGAGGCAAAGCCGGCACCGCATTGCTAGAAAGAAGACAACACAACTACACAACTACACAACTACACGCGCTGCTTCTGAGTCCACGGCGGGAGCATGTTCCCGACGTGCCCATCCATGGCTAGCATGTACAGAGCAGGATGAGGGGAAAGAGTGAGTGATGAAGAGGAGGAGGAGGAGGAAGAGTGGTGGAGGCGGTTACAGATGGATAGATTTATTCCTTTTATTTTGTGCAGCTACCTGTAAATAAACCACACGTTCATGGGCCCGAGAGACGGCCACGAGGACGACAGGGAGAAGGGGTCCTCGCTGTAGCGGCCGCTAACGACACCAGCTCCGCGGTATGCCCCGAGCGCCATGGCCCCTTCCCGCTCTCTCCACCACCACCTCCTCCTCCCCTTCTCCTCCTCCTCCTCCTCCTCCTCCTCCCCTCCTCTCCCTCTGCTGCTGCTGCTGCTGTTGATGCTGATGCTCCGGTTCAGGCTGAAATTCGGTGACGGATCGCGGAAAGGGAGAAGGGCCGTGGGCAGAGGCGAGCGTGCATCCAAGCCCCGTCATACTTAAGGAATACAGCGAGGAGAGAGGAGAGACGAGAGACGAGAGAGAAAAGAGAGAAAAGAGAGAAAAGAGAGGAGAGAGGAGAGAGGAGGAGAGATTGTTGGCTGCGGCTGCGACAAGAGAGAAACCGGGAGAAGGAGGGGCCGAGGCGGTGCGTATGAGGAATCCAGCCGTTTAAGACGTTTTACTAGCTTTTCTTTTTTTCTCTCTCTCTCTCTCTCTTCTCTCTCCCTTTTTTCCTTCTTCCTTTCGGAGCCTGCCGTATGAAAGCATCCGAGCCACACCTCCCACTATCAGTCAATGTCATCATCGCTCCATTCATAAAAACACAGCCGCACCGTCCCATACCAGAGTTATTATCAAAAACACCTGTGGATTTTACTCAGCGCTCAGTGGGGACTGCGGCCAGCTGGGGGCGCTCAAGGCACGATTAGATTACTGTGTGTTTTATAATGTGGAACAGGCAGATTTTAAGCTTTCTAACACAAGGGTGGATTTAGAAAAGGAAGAACAGATCGTTCTGTGTTTAGTGGATTTAAGACTAGATTAAACAGCTTCATTACCTTATTGATCAATAAATACATCATTTTATTCCTAGTCTATGCTCTCTTTTGGACATATTGGTTTAACCCAAATTTATATCCAGAAAATTAACTAACAATTCACAAGGTCTAATATAGAGTGGTATTGTCCTTATACTTAACGTGAAACAGAAGGATCAGAAACATGGCCAATGGATGGACAATTACACACAAGAAATACTTGTTCCTGGAATTGTTTTTTGTACCTGTGTTTTCTAAACTTTAAGCTCTTTAAACTCTATCATTTTGACCCGAGCGAAAGGCCGTGTCCAATCTAAGGCCCGCGAGCCAAAGGCGGTCCTCCGTGTCGTATTAATTGGCCCTCTGCCGAGCTAACATGAAGTAGTCTTTGAGAAAGTTCACAGTATCATTCAGCCAACTTCAGCTCTGTTAAATATGAACCAATATAGACACGTCATACCTCATTTTAAAGCTCAGAACAGTCTGTGTTGTCGGGTCCTGGACACATTTGGTGAACTCCAGTCGGCCTCTCACTGTAATGTTTTGGCACGCCTGGGTTCAAACAAATGTCCGACGTTCAGAATAAGTCTAAAGTCAGGACCCCAGGACGTTATCGCGGACTACAGCAAGTTCATCATGGAGCAATGTCAACATTTAAAAATGTACATAAATATACATTCCCATGTTTCCCTTTGACCCTAAAACAACCAACATCTGCCATTGGTCCCTGGGATTATCCGGAGGGTCAAAGGCACAAGAGCAGATAACAAGAGGCCAACGTAGTCTCGAACCATGTAAAGACATTTGGACAAAGGTCAAAGCAGATCTCAAAGCAACAAACACAACTCCTGCCATGAAGAAACTCCTGCAGACTGAAGCAGCTCAGGAGAAAAACACCAACTTCTCATTACCCCAAAATGTAAAGTCCAGAAAGAGGATTTTTGAGCTGATCATGGAACAGCTGCAAAGAGACGAAAGAGAAAAAGATGGAGGACGGAAGTCAAATGGATTTTGAACATTTCAGTCGTCCTCAGATGTTGCTGCGTCATTATCGATAGTTTAGATACAGAGCCATTTAAAAGTACAGTTTATTGTTTTTGCTTCACAAATGTCTGTCGAGAATCGTTCAACAGAAATAAAAGGTTCACAGTCTCTTCTGTTTTGTCAGTTATCAACATGTTTTACTTTCTTTAATGAAATACTGGGACAGATCGTGTTTATTCATATGTTTTGAAGAAAATAAATCACATTAGGGCGGGCGATAAAACGAGACCGATATATATCGCGATAGACTCGTGTTCGATATCGATAGAAAACAAGGTCGATAGAATGTTGCATAGTTTAAAGAAGCTATACCCGATTTTTTTTCTAAGTAGTTCATAAAAATGCTTTTTACTACATACAAGTTGTATCATAATACATAATTTAATTGAAAACTTGAGGTCATTGATTCCACTGTGTATGAAATTCAGGCAGTAAAAAGTGCTGAGTAGAGTCTGAGCGGGCTGCTCGTTCTCCTCCACTCACAGAACAAGGAGCGAACAGCCTGCGTCCTCTAGCCTCTACAGCGCTGCTAAACACCAGGGCTTCGACTTCAAAATTCGAATAAAATTCTAAAATAAAAATATATATACATATTTAAACAAATATTAGACAGCCCTTATAATTAGAAATGTATTTAATGACTGCAAATAAAATAGTTAGCCCCCAAAGGTTTCACCGGGACGTGCTAGGCAGGTAACAGCTAAGCTAGCTAGCCGTTTCATGGTTAACTTCCGGGTTTTTCGCGATCGCTTTTTGTCACTTTAAAACAGTATTTTTGTCATGAAAACGTTGACAGCAAATTCTGAAACAGTCCGTGCATGTGTGTTAAGGATGTATCTGTATACTGTATTGTCCGATTGACGTTTAATGGTGTTGATTGATAGATATGTGTTTGTTTATTGAGCGTGGCTAGCTCCGCTAGCTTCTCTACACAGACGAGTGTGTAGTGACAGGTGCTGATAGCTTGTTGTACTTGCAAAGTAATGGCAGTATTTTACACACCTGAATTACAAACAGAGATTGCATTGGGGCTGCGGTCATTATTGGTTTGAGAGTTCTGTTATCAAGAAAAAATGATCGGAAGAATTGCATTCAAGTCAATGGAGTGTTCTGCTGCTGCTGTGAGGAGCTGTATAATAAATTATAATTAAATATTAGAATATATTCTAATGTTTAAATTAATACATCCGGACGCGAAACTAATGGTATTCTTTTACTTATATATTGTGTTAGCAGTGCGTTGTTTTAGTGCCATTTCATCAGTGATTGTTGTACAGCTTACAAGTTGCGCTAATGCTAATGTTAGCATATGTATCAGATCGCAAATAAAACTAGGTGGCTCCGTGTTATGAGAGCGTAGGGGAAATGAGAAGCCTGTGAGCGAGTTGGGGGGCGGTGCTAAACATTCAAACATTGCAGAAACGGGTATAGCGCCTTTAACTTCACTCTGTTAGAAAACACAGGAAGTAAAGCCGAGTCAGAGGCCCGCGGCATTCTGGGGGATACAGGCAGAGACTTCTCCACCTATCACAGCCGAGCATGAACCGCAAGGCATTCTGGGATAAACAGCAACGGCACCATGCGTTGCGTCTGTGGCTCCATTGTCGTCGTGTCATCATGACATCATCACAACTTCACCATGACATCACAACTTCACCATGACATCACAACTTCACCATGACATCACAACTTCACCATGACATCACAACTTCACCGTGACATCACAACTTCACCATGACATCACAACTTCACCGTGACATCACAACTTCACCGTGACATCACAACTTCACCGTGACATCACAACTTCACCGTGACATCACAACTTCACCGTGACATCACCACTTCACCATGACATCACAACTTCACCGTGACATCACCACTTCACCGTGACATCACCACTTCACCATGACATCACAACTTCACCGTGGCATCACAACTTCACCGTGACATCACCACTTCACCATGACATCACAACTTCACCGTGACATCACAACTTCACCGTGACATCACCACTTCACCATGACATCACAACTTCACCGTGACATCACAACTTCACCGTGACATCACCACTTCACCATGACATCACAACTTCACCGTGACATCACAACTTCACCGTGACATCACCACTTCACCATGACATCACAACTTCACCGTGACATCACCACTTCACCATGACATCACAACTTCACCGTGACATCACAACTTCACCGTGACATCACAACTTCACCGTGACATCACAACTTCACCGTGACATCACAACTTCACCGTGACATCACAACTTCACCGTGACATCACCACTTCACCATGACATCACAACTTCACCGTGACATCACAACTTCACCGTGACATCACCACTTCACCATGACATCACAACTTCACCGTGACATCACCACTTCACCGTGACATCACCACTTCACCGTGACATCACAACTTCACCGTGACATCACCACTTCACC